AGCCTGAAGACAATTTTATACATTATTTTAAATAATTTTGTGCTTGAAACAAAGTTTTGAATGCAATTCATCCCATGAGGTCAGGTGTGGAATTTTCCACTCATGGTATCATGTTGGCACTCAAAGTTTCAAATTTTGGAGCATTTCAGATTTTTGGATTAGGGATGTTCAACCTACACAAGCATCTTTTCCTATTTGGCATGCTTTTTAAAGAGTATAATTCACATAATTTACCACAAAATGCTAAAATCTTGAGTATTATACAATCAGTCATCTAGACACAGACACAGAACATTTTCATCACTCCAGAATGTTCCCTTGTGCCTCTTCCCAGTCAGCACCTCTGTCACAATAGCAATCACTCATCTGAAATCTATCAGCATAAGTTAGTTTTGCCTATTCAAGAATTTCATATAAATGGTTTCCTACAGTATATACCCTTTTTGTATGCAACTTCTTTCACTTAGCATGGTATTTTTGAGATTCATATGTCTTGTTGCATGTATCAGTATTCACTCTTTTTCACTGCTGAGTAGTATTTCATGGTAGATTAGACCAGTTTATCTATTCTGTTGTTGATGGACATGTAGAGTGTTTCAATATTTGAATAAATATTGAATAAATTTATTATGAAAAAAGCTGCTATGAGCATTCTTGTGGATATAGCATTCACCATTTGAAAATTATTTTTTCTTTAATCATACTAAATTTTTCATTTGCATATTGTCTTCTAAGATGTCTAGATAAATAAAAGCCTAGATCCATGCAAAAGATAAATGGTTTACTTGCTCTAAGAAATTTTTACAAAAAAATTTCACTCAATAGGATTCTATTAATTAGCTCCCCTCATGGAGTAAATGATCTATGTTACAAACACTGCTTATAAATACCAGTTACTCCCTTTACTCATTTGGAGTTTCGTTTATGTGGATTTTCCCTCTTCCCCAGTTGCATGAACATATTACTGTAATTATTTGCTGTTGCACTAATAGAGACCTTGTCTTTTGAAGGAAGGAAAGTATTTGATTAAATGCATCAGCCTCTCTAATAATCATATGCCTGAAGTTATGAACAGTTGAAAAACTCCTTGGGAGTAGGGGCAGGTGAACATTCTAAAAACAGGTAGAATTTACAGTGGTTAAAAAGTGCAATGGTAGAAAAATAATTTTGTGCGAAGTGTCACATTGGGGGTGTGTGTGATAAGACTATGGTGATTTAAGTAAAGACAGCACTGCTAAACTCATCCACACCGATGCCTATGATGTTACTTTCTATAAATACTTCTTGAAACATGAGAGTTTAGATCCTGTTGCCAAAATAATGTGAGATCCTAGAAATTTTCTAATTATAAATGACAGTATTTTAATTTCATTCCACTGCCTTTTCTGTACCCTCAACCCCAGCACAAATGAGTCTATCACTACAAGCCACATAATTGAATTAAAGCGTACATCATCTCAGCCTATTCTGGGGGAAACCACAGCTGCTTTTCCTCCAGATAACTGATTTTGCAAAGCCCAGGCAGGCTGCTCCTTCCTTTATTCTCTGCCTCACCAAAAGATTTAAGTCACCTGTCAAGAGCTAGCCTAAAATAAATGGAAGTTACTTTTTTCAAATGGGGCACAAAGTTTGTTCCTTTAAGCCGGTTGTTCAGAGAAAGCTTTCGGTAGAAGCAGTCAAGTATTTGGGATTCAGTTTTGCATCTCTTGTTCAAAAACTAATGTAAGCAGTGTAATATTAATTATAAGTGTATATGCATGTAGGGAAAGTGCAGTAATAAAGATTTTACTTTAATGTCATTTTTGACAGAAGTGTTTAATTTTGGAGTGGCAACAATTAAAAATGGAATTACACGTAGCTGCTCTGTTTTGCACATTTAAACATTTTAAATCTCTACCTCTAGGTGGCAGCACCAGATACTTGTTTCTTGTTTCACTCCAGCCTTAATGAGTTTAGGGTGTAAGCAGTAAAACTTTAAAGTCTACTGAAACTTTGAAATAAACTGCTATTACCAGTTTTCTGAGAATTTGGAAAAACTAATGTATATGTTGAATAAGTTTGGGGCTTGTTTTAGCTTTTCAAAAAAGATTCCAGCAGCAATGATCCTTATTTTTTTAACATGACATTGTATGTTTTCTTATAATGATTTAATTTAGCCCTCTGTGGTTTGCCTGTTGAACTTATAACTGCCCTCCCAAGAAAATCACTTTTTAAATGGCATTTTGGTATTTAAGTAACTTGTACAAGGATTATTATATACCTAATATTTTAAGCTCATTACAGTCTCGTCTCCCTTTATATTTTTAAATTTTAGCATTGAACTATGACCAAGAGAGTACTGAGATTGAAGCCCCTTCCCCTGAAAAATAAAACCAGCTTGGGAATAAATATGAAGTAATTAGCTAAGCCAGTTGGCTTTGTTACTGCCACCAGAAGATTGAGTGAATTGTAGAAATGGATATTTAGAGTGGACATTTCGTAGAACCTGATATTTATCACAAGTTTCAGGCACTTGTTTTGGTGTTTCTCCATGACTCTGTAGCAAGATGGCCCACGCCCATTTTTGGCTTACTCTGTAGGCAGGCCGTCCATGGTCAGAGCTTGCAGGTTCATGCACTCAGGTGTGCCAAGTGAGCCATGGCTGGTGGGGTGGGGTAGAGAGTAGCTCCACTTGGTTCCTTTTCATAGCCTGGCCAATTTTGTATATGTGCAAACCAGCATTGTTCCTTTATTTTTGGACTGTGAAAGAAACTTGCCTTTTAGAAAAATGTTGCTTATTATTTTTCTTTTTGATTAGTGTTGGCCTGGGAAATTGATTAATATTCATAGGGTCGGAGTAAAAGTGAAGCTGCTTTCCTATAATTGCAAATAAAGCAAGACGTTATGTGAATACTTGGATTCACAACTGGAGTTTGAATTAGCAACAGTTACCCTTCACTACAGAGAGGAAATGGCCTCATTCACGGGTGTGGTCTCTCTCAATTCCTCTGACCCTCCTTAGCTTTAAATGTGAGGGTATATGTATTCCCACATACTTCTCTAATTTGCTGTTTCTCTTAGGGGTTAGGTAACTTGTAAAATAAAAGTGTATAGTGTCTTGGTGACAAGTGGCTCATGTTAATATAATTTATGTCACTAATGAAGAACAGCTTTTCAAATTGTTCTGAATGTGTCTTTGTTTTTATCATATACTACCACTTTAAGAAATACTTTAATTCCTACAAAGAGTAGCTATTGACTTCATATGCAGCATGAAGATGTCTCATATATTTTTCTAAATGCATAATAATCTTGAGTGAGTATAGTCTGGATTAAATGATGTTCATTCACTATTTTATTTTTTCATTCAAATGACATTTATTCAGTGCTTGCCATGCAGTAGGCAGCATTGAACTCGGTTTGTTCTCTATTATCCAGTTTAAATTTCAAAAGTATATGATCAGTGATGCTACCTCCATTTTGCAGGTGAGAAAACTGAGTCTCTGTGTCCCAGTTGTCTTATTCTTTGTTTGGCCCCTTTCAACTATGAAGAGTTAACCTCCAGTATTTTATAATGACTAGATGTCACTTGAAACTGACCAGATAGGATTTAGAATTCTGTCGCCAAATTCTAAATGCATCTGTCAGGTTTATCTACCTATGTAGCTGTTGATAAATTTAAAACAATTTTTAGATATTTTTTATATTTGTGAGCTTTTGGCTCAGTGACTGTTTTATATTACTCATTTACCTTTATACTAAAATAAGATAGTTTTCCTTAGATTGCCAAAAGCTTTTCCTTAGATTTCCAAAAGATAGAAATATTGTCTCTTAACAATCTTTTCTTGAGAGCATCCCTTAGCAATCCCTAAAATTCTAAGAAACAGTGTAGAATAATTATTTTTAAGTATAAATTCAAATAGTAAATTTTGACACACATATTTTGACTAAGGGTAAATTAAATTGGGTGGCCTAAAAACGTTTCTTTTCTTTAATTAGTTTGTAGAAACAAAATAGCATAAACATGCGTTGATTGATTTCTTGTGTTGTTTTAATTGAAATATGGAAGGTATATTTGGTTTCAGGATTCTCAGGGACATTTTGGCCTATAGAATCTGTAGACTCACTGTTTTTGCATATACTTTAAATTTCTGAATTTTGAACATCAAGAAAACCATGTTGCGTTTTGTCTCAGATGCTGCTACTGAATTTTAACCACTGAATTAGATTGCAACCTACATGCTGTTAACTACTGAGCCAAGATGAAATCGACCACTGCATTGAAATCAGGGTTAGCTGTGTCTGCACTTGAAGGAATTGTAATGGCAGTGAACCTGTTTTCTTTAATGGGATTTTTATTCTCTGATTTTATTCTCAGTTTTGATTGTGACACTTCAATGTTAAGAGAATTTCTTCATAAAAGTACACATTTATTTGAGGTTTTCATTGTAACATTAAGAGAGTAATAAAAACATCCTGTAGAAGTAGTTGCTTCCAAACCCAAGTGTTCACTGGCATATTTCTGTGTTGCGTTGTTGCAGTTACTTGTTTTATTTATGAAGTAATCTCTTGTAAAAAGAGAAGTCATTTGTCCATGTGCTCTTGAGTTCAAATGGTTGTGTGTAAGTTCATGAATTTAAAATCTTTTTTTGTGAGCGTTTTCTTCTTTGGGGTATTTTTGGAATACTTTTCTGAATTTGTTTTTTTCTTTTACATTAATAGGACTTGACCCCACTCAATTTACAGTTCATCATTATCATAAAGATGAAGAGAATGATGCTCTACTTGGGGGCCCAGCACAGCTCACTGATGAAGAGAAATACAGGGACTGTGAAAGATTCAAATGTCGATGCCCTACATGTGGAACTGAGAATATTTATGATAATGTCTTTGATGGTTCGGTTAGTTGTTTCTGTCTTTTTGTGAGTGAACTTGTATAACGGCCTTGCCCCTTTCCCCCACTATGGAGTATATAAAAAGGGCAAAATAAACACACCCACGTTGCTTTCATGTGTTTAAAGAATTTTGGCATCATATAAAATCTGCCTTCACAGCTTACTTTGTTTCTGCTTGAAAACTTTGAACTGAATGTGCTTGAATATTGTTTTGGCTTCCTAGAGTGCTTGACCTTGGTTTTTAAATGGAATCCCTTAAAAATTCTAAATTATCTTAAGTATTTTTTATTATAATTTCTTAATTAGTAACCTCTATTGCCCCACTCTCAACCCCCATCTATTAGGACTTAGAGCAATATTTTTCTTTATCTTAAATCAAGTTAATGGGAACTAAGTGTTTTGAGAAAGTTTGTTTGCCTTTACACATCCCACTTACCTCCATTTTGCAAAGGTACTCTTATTATCTTTTCTGCTGTCTTTGCATATTAGACATTTAAAAAGTCACAGGGAGACATTTCTTTCAAGAAGTACTGCCAAAAAATGTATTATTGACCTTGGATCAGAGCTTGAAACTTGGCCAGTTTACTTGATTTCCACTGCAGTGTTATGCATAGACTAGCCATTGGCAAAGGAATAGGCAGCAGAACTGTGTAAAACCTTGAAACTGAAAGAAAAGACACCCTTTATCTAAATTAAAAGTAATTATTTTAAGTTAATTTGGACAAACAGCAGATGTTTTGCATTTTTTTGAATCAAAACAAAGCAGTCTTTGGAAGCAAGTGCAAGGAAGAGGCAGACACAGATCAGCAATACTTGCTAAATCCTTGAGTTTTGCTTCATTACAGCTGTAAATAAGATAGTTAATTGCATGGAGGCTTGACGACTTGCAGATGGGCTAACTGTGGAAGAGCCGATGTCAAGCTCTGAAATCTCTTCCACCTGGAATTGCTTAGCGTGGCGGGTAGGGTTATGTACCAGATTGGAGCAGGAAACCAAGATGTTTAAGTATCAGGAAGGAAAACAAGTGCTTCAGAAATCCCAACAGTTTTGCTATATATTATATTTGCCTTGTCTTTGTTTAAAATGAAACACAGCAAAACAAAATGTTTTCTCCAAATATTAATATTTATGTCTTTCAAATTTTTACTTCTCCTGCCTCCCTCTCCCAAATACATTTCATTTTTTGGAAAAATTGCCAAAATTTTAGATTTGTGAAGCAGACAGTAAGTGATATTGTTTTTGTGGTACTACAATTCTTTTAGATTTTATTTTTAAAATTAAGTTAACAAGATAAAAACAAACTAATGTGATAAAGGCTCTTGCTTTTCTTCATGTTCGTAATGAGTAAAAGCAAATTTAAAGTTTTTATCGATATCTCTAAGAAGGAGGTTTATTTCCAGTAACATGACTTCACTGGTATTTACAGAGGGAAAATTATTTTATCCATAGAGTCCCTCGTGTATTGAATGTAAAATGGTGATCTCAGAGTTTTTCCTTTGTTACTCCATTGTGATGATGGCAAAGAATGGAAGGTATGTGTTACTAAAGTGTCTTTGGGAGGAAAATAATTGAGAAGATAGGGTTAAAAACTCACCAATAAAACGAATTAAAAATATTCAACACTAGGATGGCATGTAAGTTTTTAAGCACAGAAAACCTTTTATAGCCTCACAGTAACTTTTTGTATACTTGTCCTGACTTCTGTAGGGAACCGATATGGAGCCCAGCTTGTATCGTTGCAGTAACATCGATTGTAATGCTTCACCTCTGACCTTTACAGTACAACTGAGCAACAAATTGATCATGGACATTAGACGTTTCATTAAAAAGTACTACGATGTAAGTATCCATAATGACATTCTTACATGCACAATTGATTTAGGTTTGGTAATTATTTACTGGTTTTCATGAGACTGTAAAATTTTGAAAAGACTTTTGGGAAAAATTCCTAGTGAAATGCTATTAATACATATAAAGTATGTAATTTTGACATATTAACATGACAAATTATTTGATATTTCTCTTAGGCATTACATATACTTCATTTATGAGCAGTATTTTAAATAATGAAATTTTTACTTTTTTTAAAAAAAGTAAATATAATTAAGAAATGTTTTAGTTTATTGTTACCTAAATAAGACTAATTAAATGATTGCTCAGATGTTTGGATAAAGGAAGAAAAAAGTCACTATTGGCTATTGTCAGCAAGTCGAGCTCCAAGATCATGTGTGGTGATCTTAGTAGACTGCCCATACAAAGCTAATAGTTTGTGTTTATGTGGCACTCTAAACCACTCCATAGCCTAGTTTTCTGATGAAATCAAATATCTTTTAAATTTAAATGCTGTTTGTCTAGCATTCACAAGAGAATGTCTAATTTTTATAAATTTATAGTAAAAATGCCAGAACAGTGATTGGTCTTCATTGGAAAGAAGACTTTTATTCAGAGTTTTTGTTTTTAACACATTTCACATGAATGAGTTTTTTTTTCTCTTCAAAAATTAAAAAAAGCCCTCACATTTCCCACTTGATTTTTCTTAGTGTTTCAATATGTCATTTGTCATCTAAATACATTTTCTGTTACTTGAAAGTTCACTGTAACTTATTTTTAAAAGCTACGTTGGCAA